ACGCGGACGACACTGTACTAGTTGCAAGAACAGTAGAAGAATTACAAAGATTACTTACAGACATAAATATTGCTTGCAACAATTATGGTATAAATATCAATATTAAAAAAAACAAGTATATGGTCTTCAGTAAAAACATGACACAACCAGCGTATATTAGTATAAACTTCACTCAAGTTGAAAAAGTATAAAGTTACAAATACTTGGGAACTTTAATAAACGAAACTGGAGACCAAAACAGTGAAATAAAAAGTCGTATCGAAATTGCCAGGGCCACCTTCATAAAGATGAGAAAATTCTTCTGCAACAGAAATATAAGCATCCCTCTACGATTAAGAATGCTGATAGGCTATGTATTTAACACGCTATTATACGGTGTAGAGGCCTGGACTCTCAAACAGAACAACATGAAAAATATTGAAAGTTTCGAGATGTGGTGCTACCGTCGAATGCTGAAGATTAGTTGGGTTGAAAGAATAACAAACTGTTAAGTAATACGCAGAATAGGAAAAGACCCAGAGATTTTGTTAACGCTAAAGCGAAGAAAACTCGAATATTTTTATTCACCTGATGAGAGGACATAAATACGCATTACTTCAAAATATAATGCAGGAAAAAATAGAAGGAAAACGGAATCCAGGCCGTAGAAGAATGTCATGGTTGCGGAATTTGAGAGAGTGGTTTGGCTGCACCACTAATAAACTCTTTAGGTCAGCCGTAAACAAGGTCAGAATAGCCTTGATGATTTCCAATCTCCGATAGGAGTGGCACAAAAAGAAGAAGATAAAGTTTAACACATTCGCTTTTTTCGAGAGGTGTTACCCAGGAGCGGCAATAACTTTTTTTTAAATATCATTATAATTAATATAAGAATATATAATAATATTAAATTAATAAACGAACGTGTATATCTGTTTATAAAATGTGATTTGAATTTTTAAGTGTATCGCTGACTGACTCCGATCGGCACAAGGTAATTAGATTCGATTAGAGATTAGATTAGATCGGCACAGATAGTTTTTCTATAAAAATAATTATATAACGAAATTTTAGAAAAAGTAAGTTTATTTATTCCATAAAATGTAGAAAGATTTACATATTGATTTGATTTTGATTCACATATGAGCAATTTCAAAGCATTCAACACAAAATCCGGATTAATCAGGATATTTTTCGCAGTGATATGTTTCGTAGTGTCTGCTTACTGCGTTCCAATTTTGTTTTCAAAGTATATTTTACAACGCTTTCTGTATGTTTGTTCTTTATTCACCATAGGAATTTTTGACATACTATGTCTGAAGGCAGGAATATTTTCAAAGTTTGAAGGGCCCGGCATACTTTTAAATTACGAAACTACCACGGCAAACAACTGGTAAAATTGTTTGACAATTTAAGTCCTCACTCACATCTTGACAAACATTAACTTACGTTGACGTCTTACTAACTAAAATATAGTTAAATAAAGGGAGCAGTGCCAAGCACTAAAAATTTGAGAGAAAATATAACTTTTTCATAAAAGTCACAATTAGATATGCGTAAAAGGATGAAGGAACTAACAAGAATGAGAAAAATAGTTTAAACTAGCCAAATAAGAGTTAAAAGTGGTACACATATATCAGATTTATACCATAAAATGAGAGATGACAACAATATATATAGCGCAGCCTTTTAAAGACAAAGAGGAAGTATTAAAAGAATTTAAAGATAACACTGGAAATAATATTAAAAATAATAATAATTAAATTATAAAATAGATAATAATAAAATCGAATTATGCAAAATTGTGGAATTATGTCTATTAACTGATTTTTGATATATTCAGATACCATATATAAAATAATCATTAAAGCATGGCTTCGGTCACCATTTATGCTACTTCTTAAAAAAATAAATGCAAGGGAATGCAATGAATATCGTACCATGGCCTTAGTGAGTCATGCCTTGAAATTATTTTGAAGATTTATTCAATAAAGCATACATAAGAAAATAGACGAAGACATAATACACAAATATAATTTAGAAAATGAAAAGTGACTCAGGATGTTCTGTTTGAAGTAAATGAGTCCTACCCAACAGAGATGGTTAGATATAAATAAGGAATATAATATCTGTTTTAGTTCGAGAGGATTATTTGACAGAGTGCAGCAGAATCGTCTTAAAGAAATGTTATTAAACAAAACTGTTAAAACCAAAATACATAGGTATATGAACAAATAAAAAGAAGTAATTAAACTCACCTTATATATCCGTTCAGGAAACTTGCAATTATTTCTTATGTAGTCTAAGAGGAAATAATATTTTTAGGGAAATCAAAAATACAATGTAGTCACGTACAAGACATATTTTATTAGTAGTCGAAACATGGATTGGACATATTATTTTACATTTTAAAATAGAAATGTTCATTACAAATTAATATCTTCGTACGTCTTTATAGATAGTTCAATATAAATTGTTCTCGATGACCTCGCAAAAATACTCAACAATTTTGTATGTTACGTGAAAAAATGAAAATTTAAAATTTATCTGTAGGAAAATTATATCATAATATATTATAATTTTTTGGTTCCTAAAATATACATACAAATTCAATATTGTATATAAAACAAAGGTTATCAAATCATGCAAAAATACTTTAATGAATATACCCTTTCAAAAAACACTAGCATTGTACTGCACCGAGTATATGTAGAAGAAAAACAAAAATTATGGAAGGTCTTTTTTTCTCTGTATAGATCACCATTAGTATAATATAGCAAAGTTATTGTATGCTGTTGCAGTATACATTAACAAACTTACACTGACCTGTGGACGTGTTTATCTAAACCCACTAAAATTAAGTATGACTCATTCTTTACTAAATTAATTTTTGTTTTACATATGATTATTTATGCACTGACTTATTGTAAGATCTGAACAATGTTATGGGATGAAAATCGCCCACGTAGTTCATTAGCGCTTGTTAAAAGAGTGGCAGTATTGCCAGATTCTTTTGGTGCCACAAGTACCTTCCCATAATATAACAGATTTTATAATACATCATAAATTTCAGTTTATAAAAATTTGAATGAGTTGTGTCACTTTCTTTGGTTTTTTGGGTAATTTGGGTAGTTTTCATCTCACAACACCGGTTTATTTTTAACAGTTAATTTTTTAACTACCACAATTTATTTTGATTTTTTTAACAGAAACATAATTGAATTGGTAGGAATTTTGAAAATTAATTGGATTTTAATAATTTTAGATATATAGAAATATGCGTAGTTGGAAGAAAGAACAAGAAACCCTCTTGAAGCTTTGGCATGATGCATTAATTGGATCAGATGTCAGCAGGTTAGTCTTTCTCCCAGTGAGGATGTTTTAGAAAACAAACTTTAATCAGCGGAAAATTGCCAGGCTGGAACTTCTAAATTCTTCAGCTCTCAAAATACGTTTGAAGATGATGAAGTAAGACAATCTAAGTTTTTTACCAGACGTGATGGAAAAACAAAATGGGCAAAGAACTGTCATAATAAATCGGTTAGGACAGTACAAGGAAATTTAATTACTCTAATTTCCGGTGTTCGAAATAATGCAAAACAAAGATGTTGTCCAATGCACGAATAAAAAAATCAGTTTAGTCACTCAGAATTATATTGACCAACATAAGTATATTACCAAGCCACTATCATTCGATTGTAGAGCAAATAGATTAAATATGGAGGATATTTGGACTACAGGTGGAACATGAATTAACATATTCAGGCTGCTAAGATTATTATATCCCTGCTAAGATTTATATTACAGAATATATGCTATATATTTGATAGTATCATAAATACAGAAGAACAAGGAAGAATAAACAAACTGGCAGCTATACAAGCTGTTTTTGATCGATTTGTATCTAATTTTTAACAATATTTTATTGGTAGTCAATACTTGACGATACGATACAATTGACTTTTTCAATTCCGCAACCGCAACCGCAACATTACATTTGACAACTGGTTTATTAGCACACCGCTAATGGAGCGTTTGCTTAGTGAACATCGGTTAACATATATTAGAAAAATTCATAAAAGCAATCAAAAAATATTGTCAATCTTTTTGAACACCAAAAACAAAGCTAAAAATCACGAAATTATTTGATTTAAAAGACATTTCCTTGATGTACTTTGTCCCGAAAAAAATAAAATAGTGTTAGTAGCTTCTTTACTTTATCATGACACAGAGTTTGACCACAAATCAAATAAACCTGAGATTATAGACTTTTATAATCACACAAAAGGTGTCGTGGATATGGTTAACGAAATGTCTGCGGTGTGTAATGTATCTCGTAATAACAAGCTATGGCCTCTATTAATTATTTTCGTTGCTTTATAAAGCAGGAATAAATAGTTATGTTACTTATCAACATGGCAAGCCATCTGAGAAACTAAAACCCAGTTTTTGGTTGAAAAAAATTTGGTTTGGCACTTATTAAACCATTTAATGAAAACACAGGTAATATTCAAAGAATACCATCAGACTTAAGGGCGAAATTAAAAAGAAATGACAGCGGACACTTAAGTACCTCACAACAAGAAATAACAACAAAGACGAAAGTGTCGAAAATGTACAAAGATCTTGATTACTTTTTCAAAATTTTGTTTTTTTTTTATTCTGTAATTATAACAAAAATATTGGTTAATAAACTAAATTTAAGTATCTTTTTTGAATTATTGAATATTTTAAAGAAAATTTTTAAAATAATATAAATTCAACAAAATATCTATAACCATATAATTATGATTTAAAATCTTAAGGTTGCATATAAATAAAAAAAAATGGGTGATAATTCCCCTTAACTACAGCTACTGTTAGAAAATCTCACCACACTGTCGGCGGGTTAGCTAAAGTTTAAAGATATAATTTACAAAAATATAATACTACGCTAATGCTTATAGTACTTAAAAGAGTTTATATAAAACGTTTGTAAAATTCATTGCGTTTTAATACCGAAATATTCATTTACTTCAAAGATGGATACTAAAACAGAGGACGTTAAATTCTGGATAGATAAAATGATGTCAGAAAAAGGCATCACTAAATATATAATAGATATCTCGGGAACGTCCTCCAAAGGTGACGGTTATCTCGGAGAAATAAACTTTGTTAAAGTGCCTTGTGACACGAAAGAGGGAGAGAAAAGAGTGTTTGATGTAGTTATTAAGTCGGCCAAAACAAACGATGATTTGCGAAAGAACACTCCAATTGTCGAAACATACGAAAGGTAATAGACATTTTTTTAATTAACGTAGAACATAAAGTCATACCAAAGATGGCGCTATAAAAAGAAGGAAATTCTATTTTAGAATAATCATTTTACCGAAATATGTTTGTGTTTAAACTAAACCAAAAATATTAATTATTATTTGTATATAATAAAAATAATAAATTGATATAAATCTTGTACTCTTTATTTTTTTTTTTTTTGAGAAAATTTTCGAAGTAGTTACTTTAGACTCGTTATTAAATTACAAATTGTTTTTCATAATGCTGTTGATTTTTTTCTAGCTAGATATACTTTTTTTACACTTTTAGGACTTCTGTTGCTTAATAGACGACTAATATTTACAGATGCCATAATATTTTTCTTCGTCCTTTTTAAAATATTTTATGATTTAGATGTTCAAAGTTATCATCGGTATCTTAATCTTATTAGCTTAGACTCCATATCTAAGGAGTTTTAAGAAGTTATTATCAAACTAATCATTTATATTTTACAGTCAAGTCAATCTGCGTGCACCTTCTTTTTAAGCGATGCCAAAATTATAAGCACCATTCCAGCCTTATTCTCAGAAAGTTCTGATGAGATGCAATTAAATCAAAGCATTCTCTCACTTCAGTCTTGATGCCCTGCAGAGAGCGCAGTTATCATTATGATATCGTGTATTGTCTTTATCCAAAGATCTGTGTCTCCGTTCATTTCTTTTATCTGACTCATAGATCTCTTGCAAATTCCTATAATTTGGTCGATCAATCTTGTTGGGGATTTTACTCTAATTTTCCTTAAATAGTAAGCCTTTCCATGTTTTCTGTGTCTGCTCTTAAAAAATGTCTAAAGTATTTTATTTGATGAAGATATACGTTGTTGGAGAGCCGCTTGCTGACCTTTAGCTCATTTAATATTGACTTTGTCCTGTGGTCGGTCGGTCCACGGAATTCGTATCATGGTTCTTCAACAAAACATTAAAGTGGCCTCTATCTTTCTTTTTTCTATTCTCTTGGGATCCATGATTCACATCCGTATGTCTATGTTGAGAATATTAAGTACATAATCAACCTCATTTTATCCATCTTTTCTATGGTTGGTTATTTTTCAGCACTTTATTTATTGAGATGTACTTTTTTCGTGATTCAAGTACTATTTTTATAATATGTTCCCCATATATATTAAATAATTATCGAGATACTACATATTTGTGTCTGAAACCTCGTTCTGAATGGAGTTTATTTAAAAGTAGGTCAAGTAGAGTGAAGTGTGGTATCCGTGAACATAATATAAAAAGTTTTATTTTGAAATTACTTATGAAGTTAGTTAGGTTTCAAACCACTTTCTATTTGTTTGTAGATATGTACGAGTAATCTGTTAGTATGTTCTCTTACATAGCTGAAAAATAAATTGAGAGAGAAAAGTATTAACATTCTTCTTTTACATGTAAGGGTCCAGAGTCACCCGTTAATTTAGGGAAGCTGTGGACCCTGATGGGAGACTGTGGTCTACTTGGTAAAGTTCACTTTATAGTTAGTATAATGAAAGGTTTAACTGTGGTTTAACCCTGCTGTACCGTTCGAGTAAACTACACAAATGTACTGTTCGGGTCAATATGACCCAACTATGGTTTACGCTCCCTAATAGAAATAAAATAAGCTAATGGTGCTAAACAAAACTGTATTAATAAAAAATTATAGTTAATTAAACAATAATCATATTGTTACTGTAAATTAAACCTTATTAACAAAAATAAAAAGCATTTTTTCTTTCCCAGAAAACCCTAAGAACAAATATAGACAGTAATAGAAAGAATGGGTTTTACAAATATGTTTATGACATATACAACATAAAATATTAGTCTTGTTATCCCTTTTAGAGCAAAATTTACAGCGTGCTCGTTTAGCAGGCGGAGTTGGATGGTCCATAGACGGTTCATTAGAATTTCCATCTTCTCTACTCGCTTCTGCTCGTGTTCTTTTTACCAGTTCTTGTGAGTCTTTAGTTCTCGGTAAATTTTTCCTGGAAAGGATAAGTGGTTTCACCAGTGTTTTTCCCAACTCCTCAAGAAAAATTCGTCGTTTTGTAAGTTTATTGGTATTCCATTGGGGATTTATCGATGTCCATAAAACGAACGCGTTGTAGGCAGAAATGTCCAGCATATTGTAAAAAACAATCATGGGCCAGCGATTTGTCTTCCTCTTACATGTATATGTACCAACAAGCTGATCTAGAGTATCCACTGTCCCCTTACTGGAATTGTAATCTAAAATAATTTGGGGCTTCTTGTCATTTCTGTCACTAATAGTTTTTTCATGATGCAAAGTACTCATAAGAATAACATTTTTATTCTTTTTAGGAATATAGTTAACAACAGTGGTATCTTGTGTGAAGTAAAAAGACGAACTATGAACTTCTTTATTCGCAATTTGTGCTGGAAGCTCTCGTTTATTTTTTCTTATAGTCCCCAGCATTGTATTTTTTCTTTTTAGAAGAAGTTGTCCTAAATTGTACGATGTAAAAAAGTTATCACATGTAATATTGTGGCCTTTCAAATCACTACTCAAGTCGCACACCACACGCATTCCCTGATTTCGTTCTGGCGCGGCACCTGCTTCCTTTCCTGTATAGATCTGCAATTTTAGAGCATAAGAACTTTTACTGTCACATAAGACCCAAATTTTTATGTTATATTTCGCTGGCTTGCTTGGAATGTACTGTTTGAATGGACAGCGGCCTCTAAAGGCAACTAATTGCTCGTCGACGGTAACATTTTCATCAGGGTTAAAAAATTTTGGTAGATTTTCAACCCATTTTTCCCAAATTTTACGTATTGCAGCAAGTTTATCAGTACGTCTCCTATCCTGTCTAGTAGTCTTGTTATCAAAACGTATTACTTGCGAAATTTTTGTAAATACTTCAAGGGACATCGTTGCTCGAAATATACTACGACCCGTTTCTTCATTCCACAAACTTTTAGTTGATTCACCATGGGACTTAAAAACTCCAGCTAACAATAACAGACCAATGTATGCTTGAAAACCAATTTTATCTAAGTCTTTCCAGTTGTTTCCAAAAACACGCTGTCCTTCCATGTTGGTCATATTTATAATTTGGTTTGCAACTATGTCAGAAAAGAGTGCGTCAAATGAATTTTTAATGCCGAAAATTCGTGCACATGCGTACCTTGTAACTCCTGGAGCATTATTTATAACATTGGCCGTAGAAAAACGACCGCGTTGATAAGGAGGATCGAGCGACCATTGGATAGTATCGTCTTTTGAAGGAACCGTTACAGAAGGTTCTACAGGATGTTGTACGTAGAATGGAACACCAAAGGATTCATCACTACTTTCTTCCTCACTCTCACTACTTGTATTGTTTTCTGTTTCTGATATGCACTCATCACTCTCTGACACGTTCGCGAGCTCGCGAAGCTCATCTTCGGTTAGCGCTCTACGGTGCGACATTATCAACATGCAAACATAGACTGAAATTTGAAATATAAACGAATAAATGAATGCGCTTGGCCTTGGAATATTAGTGTTTTACCACTTGTCTATCACCCCCACTTCCTTTTACGTGACATGCCATTCTACCTGACATCGTCCAGCTACACTACACATATTTTACAAGTTCTAGCTTGTAGAAACTTGTTTTTATTTATAGACGTACCTGACTGACAAACACTATTAGAAAATATAAAATACTACCAACTAAACATACCTATACAGGTAATTTTTAACGGTTTAAATAAGTGGGTCATATTGACCCGAGCGTACCATAGGTAACAATTTAATTTTTATCAAAAAAATGAGCAAGTTGATTTTTTATCTTTTATGCAATTGAAAGACCTCATATTAAGTAATAAAGTCACGAAACACCAAAACGTTACGCCGAGTAATAATTTGTAAAATAAGAAATAATTTTTTTTTTGGGTCAAATAGACCCGAACAGGACAGCAGGGTTAAAATAATAGCAACATAAAAAATGCAGAAGCGACAATTTTTGATAAAAATCATAAAAGAAAACAAACAGCTAGGCAATATTTTTGAATCTCCTTAAATCTTCAAAAAATGTAACGACGTTTTCATCTTCATTTTTTGGGTCGTTCAGTATTCCTAATATCTTATTATAAGCAAACAATGGACGCTCGTTTTTCTCACGAGATTTAGTAAGTAGTATTACTCACTTATAATATTAAAGGTATTTCCCATGCGTCGTTTCAAACATTTGATTATCACGACTCTTTTCACGGCATTTATTTGCAATATTATTCCAATCGAATGAGTAACTGCTCGTTTGTTCATTCGTACCACAATGTATTTTTCTGATATTATATTATCGTAAATGGGTTATTGAACTGGAAGTTCCGCCCTTTCTTTAATACTGTCATTTGGAGCTTCATCTAAACTCCGAATGACAATGACTTCATATTCTTTGAAGCGTTTGTCTTAGTTTTTGTTAACTGTAGGTATCTTAAATAGGTTTTAGTTGTGATCATCATTATGATCAGTCGCATTACAGCCCGTTATGAGCCAAAGCCTTCTTCAGAACAATCTTTTGTTTGCTCCTGTCTCTGGCAACTCTTCTCCATGCTTTAATTCCGATGGATTTTAGATGATCCTCCATGTTATCTTGAAACCTAAATTTTGTTATCAAGATAACAAGAAAAAATTTTACAGGATGCAATAGAAATTGATGCAATGTAATTCTGGCTGTCTCTAGTAAAGCTGAAAGAGGTTGTACATGGGATCGTAATTTGCTTACCCGTATCACCTTGCTCGTTAATGATAGTGCCAGGAATGTTTTTTTCTTCATAATATCGTAATATTTTTTGGGATCAAACTTGTCTTTGTTAATGGAATCTTGATTTAGAGGAAAAATACCTGTTTTTCTAAAGCCATTTATCACAACAGGTTCTTGAATACTGCGCTAAGCTTTTCCCAAAATATTGCGCATTTTGTTAGCTGTTTTCCTGTTTTGCGCTGTCAATATATTAAAAAAGCATCCCATAAATACCTGAGCCTCTTGAAGGCAGACATATACAAAGGCTGCAATATTGCAGAAGTATGTAGCAGGAATTTAAGAATAGTTAAATATTCTGCTATGGACAACGCAACTAGTTTGGGTGAAATTTGCGATAAATGATTATCGTAAATCAAAAGAGAAGGCCTTTCAACGCGTTCAAAAAACATTTTTGAACCGTACAAAAAATACAATTTCAGTCATCCAACCATTTTCGGGTACGTAGTAAGATAATCATCTGTAACAAACATATTGTTCCATAACCTTCTGCCCTTGTGAAGGATCATAGGTGGGAATATAGAGCCGTTGGCATTAGCACATGCCAACACTGTTGTTGTTTTCCGTGTTGAGTCTGCAGTTTATGTTTGTGCCATTTCTCTGATTCCAGTTACAAACTTAGTACGGCTATGGCCATAATTAAAATTCATTTCATCTGCATTCCATATGATAGCAGGGTATTGTTGAAGTTGTAAATTATTCATAATAGTGTCCAGTTGATCAAATAATTAGTATCCAACAAATGGGTCACTTTATTGTTATACACGTAATGCTTTAGTTATCTCAAGTTTCTTAGTAGACATTTGGTTGCATTTTGAAAAATTCAGAATCAAAAGAGAAGCAAAAATGTTTTATCTTCATTAGAAAGGGCATTTCTACCACATACAGTCACAAATGTAATATAATTTTATTGTTTTAAAAAGTAAAATCTTGTAGGTACCTAATTTTGTTATTACCTTGTACCTGCCCTGCCGCTTGTCTACCTTTCCACCCATCTCCTTTTAATCCAAGTGTCGATTTTGGTATGATATGCTCCATTGCAGAATTCTTAAGTTGAGATTTTCCCGTTTTCACATCTCTTATGGACAGTTCTAATGCTTCTATTAAATACCTATGTCCGACACCACTATTTTTTAATATATTTTATTGGCATGTTTTCTCCCAAAAAATAAATTATAAACCAATTAACCTAGAAACTTTTATAACCACAGTTCTTCCGATCACGTGTCATGTCACGCTAACTAACTATGGACCACTTCTTAATTACCAACCTATTCTTTTTATGCTTCGTTTACTTAGCGTTAGATGGCGTCTCAAGTTTACTTTCAGATGCATTTATAAAAATAAACACTGATTATGTACCGCACCAAGTTTTTCAAATTTAACTCAACTACTACGCAATTTAGTTGGATTAAAACATGTCGGTCAGAGTTTGAGTTGCTAACTGAATTTTTGTTTTGGTAGCTGATGTCTAAAGAATTTGTCACTAGTTATTACCAAAGAGAATAAACAAATATGTGCTGTAAATTATAATATCTTGTTAACTAAAAAAATCGTCAAGGAAATCGAAAAGTCAAGGAGAAATAAATAAAAAAAATTACACATTACACTACTCTGGGCACGAAAAACAAGGTCAATATGGAGTTGCATTTATAACTACAGGAAAAATACAAAATAATATTATGCAATTTAAACCAATAAATGAGCGCTTGGCATACCTGAGAATTAACGCCAAACCATTTAATATATCCATCATAAACGTATATGCACCAACTGAAAGTGCTGTAGCAGAGGAAAAAGATAACATCTATGAGAAACTGGAAACAAGACATTGAATCTTTACCCAAAGAAGACACAATTCTGGTAATGGGAGATTTTAACGCTCAGATAGGCAAAGAAGACTACATTAACCAAGATGCAGGTAAATATACATTACATGAAAAAACAAATGATAATGGTCAAAGATTATGCAACTTAGCAACTAGCACCAATATGATTGTCAGTAGTACAAAATTTGCACACCCTGTATACCACAAAGTAACATGGGTCTCACCAGACCAAAAAACATGGTCCCAAATAGACCATATACTCATCACAAAGAGAAAGCAAACATCGATAACAGACGTGAGAACATACAGAGGTGCACATGCAGACACAGACCATTTCATGGTTACCGCAACGATAAGACAAAAAGTCAAAAGAACGCTAAAAAACAAGACAACAAAGGACAGATGGTACATAGAAAAATTAAATGCTACAGATAGAAGAATTAAATATGCAGAAGATATAAGCAAAAAACTGAAGGAATACTGTGAACATACAGAGGATGTTGAAACAGAATGGAGCAATATAAAAAAATGTATAAATGAAACAGCTTCTGAACATGTAGGGATAGAGAGAAAGAACAAAAAAGAAGAATGGTATAATCAAGACTGTCATAACATGTTAAAAAAGAAGATAGAAATAAGACAAAGGTGGATCAAAACAAATAGACAAGAATATAAAGAAGAATACAACAAATTAAGAACAGAATGTAAGAAACAAATAAGAAAAATTAAACAAACCTGGTTAAATGATAAGATAAATAAAATAGAAGAAGAAAACACAAATAGAAACACAAAAGCATTTTATAAGAAAATTAGCGAACAGAACAAAACCTTCAAAGGAAAGATAAAAGGCATAAAGGACAGAAATGGAAAAGTATCAGAAAATGACAAAGAGTTTAAAGAAATCTGGACTGATTATTTTAAAGAAATATTAACAGTACAAGAGGACGAAGACTTAAATGAAAATGTGGAAAAAGAAACCACGATGATAGAAACCGAGTTAGAAAAACCAACGAGAGATGAAGTTGAGGAAATTATAAACAGTAGTCGCAACGGTAAAGCACCAGGTATAGACGGTATAAACATAGAACTAATAAAATATGGTGGACATGAACTCAGAGAAAAAATATACCAATTAATAAAAGTCATATGGGACAAAGAAAAGATGCCAGAAGAATGGCACAAAGGACAAATTATCACAATCCATAAAAAAGGAGACCAACAAATGTGTAATAATTATAGAGGACTGACATTATTAAACACAGCGTATAAAATCATGTCAACCTTAATACAACGAAGACTGGCCAAAGCGACAACAAATATCATGGGACAGTATCAATGCGGATTTATTAGGGGAAAGTCAACAACAGATGCCATACATACGGTAAAGCAAATTATGGAGAAAGCTTATGGATATAAAATAGAAATTGAACTGCTTTTTATAGACTTCCAACAAGCATTTGATTCAATAAACAGAGCGAAATTACTTACAACTATGAGAGAAATAAGAATACACAACAAATTAAGACGATTAATAAAAATGACAATGAGCAAAACCGTAGTAACTGTAAAAACACAAGAAGGAGACACAGAAGAATTTGTTATAAATAAAGGTGTACGTCAAGGAGATTCATTATCTGCAACTCTGTTTAATCTTGCCCTGGAATATATAGTCAGAAAAATCAACAAAGGTACACTTAGAACGAGAGAGGGACAAATAATAGCATATGCCGACGATATTGTGATAATAACATAGAACAGAAACAAAATGGAAAGTATGTTAAAAGAATTGGTAGCAGAAGGGAAAGTAATGGGATTAGTAATAAATCAAGAAAAAACAAAAATAATGAGATTTGACAAAAAATATGAAAACAAAAAGGTTAGACTGGGAGAATATATATTTGAAGAAGTAGAAAAGTTTAAGTATTTGGGAATATTATTAGCAAACAATGGAGAAAGGGAAACAGAAATTAAAGAAAGGATAATTACAGCAAATAAGACATACTATGCAAATAAAAAGCTTCTAAAAAATAAATTACTGAGCAAAAAATCGAAAATGAAAATATATAAAACAATAATTCGACCGACTATGATGTATGCTGCCGAAACCCTTAGCATGACAAAAAAACAAGAGGAAGACCTTAGAATACTAGAAAGGAAAATACTAAGAGCAATATTAGGACCAATAAAAATTAATGAAAACCAATACAGACAAAGAACGAATCATGAACTACTAAACGAAATTAAAGAGGATATAGTCTGTAAAATAAAATAGCAAAGGGCAAAATGGCTAGGACATATATGGAGATCAGGACCATTTACGACAATATTCTCAATATTGGAATGGACACCAGCTGGTAAACGAAGACGTGGAAGACCAAGATCTACATGGCTACAAGAAGTAACAAACGATCTTAACAGGGCGGGCGTACGACAATGGAGAGAAAAAACCAGAGATAGGAAACAGTGGAGAAAAATAACAAGAAAAATTAAATAAAGAAAATGAGGACTGATCTACCTCGTAAAATAGATCTAGAGAGCTTAAGCGGCGCAACCCCGTACAAGGTGTTTAGCCACAATATATACAGTTACTTCAAACCACAGTTACTCCATTTCACCCTACTTTGTTCCAGCGTTGTATTTGCATAGTTCAAGCGAAATTAAGTATTATTGTCTCTTACCTATGCCGAACTTTTCTAGTACATTCTTAGGGACGTCATTTTGTTTAATGTTAACTTTTGCGTTAAACTAACCGAATATTATGGTTACCTGTTGATTTATCTGCTGTGCTTTTTGGCTCATAAACTTCGAGGCTATTGAGTTTATATGGTTTACCCTCCAGTTTAAGGAGAATTGTATTTCACACATAAATGTTTTTAGTTTTTGCGAAATCAGAATTGCAATACCTGTATACCACGGGACTCACCACAAGAGAAGTAAATATAATGCCATTATTGTCTCAAAAAAAGCGCTTTTCTAACCAATATGTTTCAGCTAGCATAGAGATTTGAATGTTGCCAGATCACTTTCCATCATTACCTGCTTTCATGTAATTGTTCTTAGCCCTTGTAGGTTTTACGTACCGACGTTAATTAATATTAAACCAAAACATTAAACCAAGAAAACTAGCAACTACCACATAACAAACAGTAAATTACAATTTTTTTAACTATAATTTTTTTCTGTCCAAACGATTATGATGCCTTTTTTAACAGTCACTACTGTGTTTTTAGGGAGATTGCAATGTATATGAAAGTAGCACCAGCAATTAGAGATTTTCAAAATGAATACGCCATTGAAAATACCTTTTCTCATTTCGCCGAATGCTTCACTACTTGCTTATTACATAAAAAGGAAGCAGTCCTGTTACAAAATTTAAACAGTTTGGGATTTTCTATACATGACAGAAAAGTGCCCCAAAACTTCGAACACATATCTTTCGTATTTCGAACATATGCGCTTTGGCATGGATGCACATTGGCTTTGAAAATAAAGAAACCTGAATTATTTAAAAATCTGACTGAAGGTATGTGCAATAATATACTATTAAATTTTAATTGTTCGTAATTTAAGTCATTTATATAGGTTATGTTATATTACTTACTTTCTCAAGCCATCTTTTATACACTGCTATATGTATATCGTTTAAAGTTATTCTTTTTCTTCTTTTTTAAGTGCCATCTTCGCGACGAAGGTTGGCAATTATCATGGCTATTCTGACCTTCTGCCTACGCTTCTCCTACCCTCTATTTTTCCTTGAATTATGAGTCTCAAGATGTTGTATCTTTCGCCTATCATCACATGTCCAAGATATTGCAATTTTCTTTCTTTTATTGTATTTTCTATTTTTCTCTCTCTTTCTCTCTCTCTTTCTGCCTATTCTCCTTAACACTTGTATTCGTGACTCTATCTACCCATGGAATAATTAACAATCTTCTAAATGACCACATTTTAAACGCGTTAAGTCGATTTAGTGTATTCCGGTTTATTGTCCATAATTCAGCTCCATAGTACAGTACACTGTGTACATAGCATTTAATTAGCCTGATTCTGAGGGCTAATCTCAGATCTTTGCTGCAAAAAATCTTTTTCATTGTCACGAAGTTGCCACGTGCTTTTTCAATTCTGACTCTTATTTCTGCGGTATAATCGTTATTTTCTGTTATTATCGTTCGCAAGTTAGAATATCTTTTTACCCTCTCGATCTGCCGACCGCCTACCGTTAATATTTCGTTTGTATTGTTGTTCTTGCTAATTTTCATGAATTTGGTTTTTTTATGCCAAGAGGGTGTCCGTTTTCTCCACTATATCTTAATATTTTGTTCATTATTCTTTCTAAGTCTTTCAAGTTGTCGGCTATTATGACTGTATCGTCGGCATGTCCAATGATAATTAAACTTCCGTTAGTTTTATGCAGACCGTCTCGTTTACCAAAGCTTCTTGTATGACCTCTTGTATGACCCCTCTCCTTGCATCCACTTCTTTTGACACTTCTCATCCAATTTTCACATTTGATCGTTGGCTGTAGTATACGTTTGATAATATCAAAAGTATACTTTTTTAATGTTACATCCCTCACATCCAGATTCTTATTTTTGAATACTAAGAAAATAATTATTCTCGTTAAACTACCTAGGTATTTCTTGAAATCGTTGATATTGTCTTCTACGTTCATATAAACATTTACAAGTTTTTTCATCCATAACAATTTTCTCTTTTGTTATAATTATAATATTTAATTTTTATCAATTCCAGGTATGACTGATTTATACGGAAAGTTTATTAAAATGGCAGATATGCTTCCTTTGTGGCAACAATATTTTAATATAATAATAAAAATTTTAAGAGAAAAAGGGGAAGACAAAGTGGCTGATAAAATTATCGACAAAGCAGGCGATATTGAAACAATTATGACTAAAATGACTTTAGAATTTGATAAAGAAGCCGAGCAGGAGGCAGTTCTGTTACACGGAGATGGGTGGAATAATAATATGATGTTTAAATACAACGTAAGTAAGTGTATATTAACCCTCCGTTAGGCACGTGGTAAACTGAGACACGGTTTTATATTTATTACATTTTATTTATAATATTGAAAACAAAAGTTTCATATATTTTTTAAATTATTATTAATGATACTGACCAGTTTTTATAACAAAAAGTTTACTTATTTCCTTACTACACGAAAAAAAAAACTACTCCATACATTTTAAAATTATTATATACCATTAATATTATTTTGCTTTAATCAGAACAATAGTGTAAATTTAACAATAGAAGATTTGTTGTACCGTACATTAACGAAAACAAAATTATCTTGATATTTCATGAATTTGATTTTTGTGCTAAAGTCAGTAGATTTATTGTAATGCAAGATACTAAGAATTTCTTATTTATTTGTTCACAAAATTGTTACCTTTTTGATCATTTGTCAGTATTTCTGGTTTTTACAGACATAGAAAATTTTAAAAAACAACATAATGTAAACATATTTAATTCGCCAGAATATTAAAAATTACTATTCATTATAAATAAATCACATAATAATAAATTTTGTGATGTTTGTCGTAATATTACTAAGCGCTATTTTTAATTGAAATATTAACGTTAAAGAGTTAGTTGTCATATTTCTCCGAAACATCTTGACCGATTTATATGAAATTTTATTAAAATAATTTTATAATTTTACTAGAGCGAAGTCTCCATTTTTGAAAGTACTCTCCCATAACCCACAGTTCTTCCCTAGGTATCACTTAAGCTTCTTCTAGTGGCTTTGTTTGCGTTAATAAAGTCCAGTCATCAGCATAGCCAAACTTTGTTGATGTTGGCATTTCTTCGATATAAAGGCTAAAATCATATCAGTGGTTTGAGTACCGATCTTTGTGCCAGACCATTTTTGAGTTTTCTGTGGGTGCTTACATCGGATCCTATAGTTACTTGAAATACTTTGTCCGTGAAAATATTTTCTATTAATCTAGCGGTGAACTTGCAAGAAATAGACAGTAGAGCAATTAGTCTATAGCTTTTTGAATGGTCAGCTGGTTTGCCCGGTTTTAATATTGCTACGACTTTTGAGCGTTGGAATTTTCGTGACACTCTTCCAGTCTGAATTATGTTTGTATCATAAGAAATATGATAGCCAGATTTTGTGTATTTCCCACAATTGAGTATACATTCGGGGTGGGTACCGTCGAAAGCTGGAGCTTTACCCGGAGAAACGTCAATAAGGGCGATATCTATTTCTTCAAATGTAAAAGAGTATTGATTAATTGCGATTTTAAGGTTTTTAAATGTTCCTTTATGTCTCGTGTGTGAGCTTTATCTTTGGTAGCTCTTAATGTTGAAACAAATATGAGATGCCACTAAGATTGGGTTTGAAAATGAGCCACCGTCTCTAATATATTGTTGGACTTTAAGTTGTCAGCATTTTTAATTAAAATTAAATAGGTTACTAACCGCCCCTAAAAACACAGCACCTCGAAAAAATTAAAAAAGATAGAATTAAAAAGTAATACATACTCTTACCGAGTGTTAAAGTAATTTAGCCACGATTGTTGTTATATATTATTTTTTTTGAATTTTTAATGTTTAGTAAAATATGAATGTGTTGCTTGTGTGAGTCCATTTCAAATAGGTAAAGAAATAATAAATAAGACTTACTTACAATCAATTTAATTTAACTATCAGACGACCGGTTTCGCTTTCTACAATATGCAAAGCATCCTCAGGTCTCGATACAAAGTTAAACAAATGCTGAAATAATAAAAACCCATATTAGGGTGTTGTCTAATAACGATAAACAAAGTAGGTGTTGTAAATTACAATAATTATGCCAATATTACATGTCTGTGGTTTTATTTAAATGAGTAAGTTGAATAAAAGGTATAAAAATTTTAAAAAGTTTAAACAGACAAGGTAAGGCCCACAAATTGTTATAAAATAGTCTCTTCGATTGTAATAAATTAATAAATGAGCAAATAAATAAATAAAATAAACTTTACTTACATGCTGGTACTCTATTAATAGATGGATGGTAGAACATGGTTGAAACTACTTTATATTGTTGAATGGAGAACTCAATTCTATTATTGCAGTTGTTTGACAGTAAACGGGAAGTTCTTGAGGAGATAGATTTGATCCAATAAAGAAGAGATATGTGTGAGGTTGTTTGTTAAATGTAAGTGATGTAATATACCATTGTGTTATTAAAAGCTATTTATACTTATTCGAGATATATATTTTTGAAATGTGTGTTATTTATTGAGTAATTGTTTTTTGATATTTGCTGTGTGTGTTATTTATTGAGTAATTTATTTGCTCATTTATTAATTTATTACAATCGAAGAGACTATTTTATAACAATTTGTGGGCCTTACCTTGTCTGTTTAAACTTTTTAAAAATTTTATACCTTTTATTCAACTTACTCATTTAAATAAAACCACAGACATGTAATATTGGCATAATTATTGTAATTTACAACACCTACTTTGTTTATCGTTATTAGACAACACCCTAATATGGGTTTTTATTATTTCAGCATTTGTTTAACTTTGTATCGAGACCTGAGGATGCTTTGCATATTGTAGAAAGCGAAACCGGTCGTCTGATAGTTAAATTAAATTGATTGTGAGTAAGTCTTATTTAATATTTCTTTACCTATTTTTAGTAAAATAGTTCAGATATTGCTTAGGATTATAAACTAATTATTAAAAAGAACTTTTTTTCTAGGAAAACGATTTCTCAAAACCCGTTGATGTGGTATTAATAGATTTGCAGTTGGCAAGAGTAGCATCTCCAGTCACTGATTTATCCTATTATCTCTATTCTGTAGCAGATAAATCGTCACTCGATAAGTTTGATGTTCTATTATCAACGTACTATGCCACTCTATCTAATTATCTAAGCCAGTATAATATAGATTGTGAGCATATTGTGACCTTAAAACGACTTAGAGAATCTTGGAAAAAGTATGGACGGTTTGGTTTGTTGTGTGCACCGTTTATTGTACGAGCCGAGTTAAGTGAAGACGATGAAGTTATAGAATTTACAGATAAAGCAGCAGAAAAATCCGTAAACGAAATTCGATTGGACGATATTAAACGACAAGATGAGTACAATCAAAGAATGGTGAATGTTTTTAAACATTTTTCTGAAGAGTTTTTATAAACAATATTTCAGTGTAATATTTAATAGGAAGTATTTAAATCCGACTATTTGTATAATTTGTCACGCTTGTAATAAGTTTGTACAAAAAGGGTGTACTGTTAAGTCTTTTTATTGTTCTAATTTATTTGTCTTTATTCTAATTTATTGTCTATGTTCTAATTTATTAAAACTCACGATAACTAATTACTAATTTATTAAATAGCTTATTAAATACAAATCTATTTGTTACGTTTCGTTACAAGTAAACCGCGTTTCCCGATCTTCTTATGACTGGCCCCTTCAATAAAATTTCGTCCTTATATAAAGAACCGTAAGACCGCCTAGACCTGACCTGACCCTTGGCGAAAATACTGGAATGTGACGTCATACTGGTATTATAGCCGAGGGGAGACCCCATGGATGTTGACCTGCATTGTCTCGAATGAACTGGAACGGGTTTTTTATAGCGGCTCGGCTGATTTTCGTCAGGTAGGTGTACCTAGAACATTCATGAATGAATAAAAACATATTAGTAAAATATATTTACGATTTTGGGTCAGAATTTATCGTAACAGTACATATGTGGAAAATTATGAGTTTAGTTTTAGTGTATGTGGACTGTATTATATAGGGCTGGTTCAAATAAATTAAAATATTTAGTAAAGGGTATACAGACAATAGCAAATTAAGTTTATACAAAGTCTTACCAATATATCTGCTCCACACTCTCGCGGTTTTCCTGGTCTGCACTCGTGGTTATTCTTCACCCGCGAAATCTATATTTAGCATCCTGGTTTCTGAACACGTGTTTCGCACTGATATCACGATATAGAGCACACTTTGCGTCTGTGCACGATTTAAAATAGTATATGCGGTATTTTTCGCGTAACTAAAACAAGAGAGAGGGAACTAGCGATGGAAAACAGCCAAGGGAGATGCTATTCGTCTTGATAAGAAAAGAAAGAGAGTGAGAGAGAGAGAGAGAGAGAGAGAGAGAGAGAGGACTCCTCAACGACAAATATCTGTACCAAGCGATAGGTAACAGGGAAGAGATAATGACTTCCTAGCGATAGCCAACAATCAAGAGGGCACGACTAGCCCTAGCGGTAGTTAAATCAAGAGAGCACGACTGGCCCTAGCGGTGGCTAAATCAAGATAGAGGGTTTCTTCTTTGCTATCTTAAAACTGTCTGTATTTGTAATATGTGGGGTTAAAATGTAAGTAGGAAGGATTATTAAGTGTTGGACTAAGATAATAATTGTAAAATTGTGATAAAAGAATTGTTAATAATATAGCGAAAAAACGACATGATTGTTTGCCTGTGAAAAAATTGAACAAAGTTTAAAGAAAATAATTTACAATTATAAAGGTACCCAATCTAATTTTTCATGTGAAAGAGTATTTCATTAAAAAAATAATATCACCAGTGGAAAGTTTATATTCTGAAAGTGGGGAGCCTTTATTATATAACCGCCGAATTTCCTTAACATTTTCACACGTAACGTCAATAGCCCCAAATGTAAACAAACCTCTATTTAATAATACGTTCACCAATAAATATATAAATCTCTTTACCACTAGTACCAAACATAAGCCTTACTATGAGCGAGTACGATGTTACCTGAGATGTCTTTATATCGAATTTCCATTTACCTTTCCAATCAATATTAAAAGCCCCTCTCCTTGGATTAATAATCATCAATCAGCCAATCGCGTCCACTGCTGGACATAGGCCTTCCTCAATTCTTTCCAGTGTTCTCTACACTGGGCCGCTTGTAGCCAGTTTCCCGCTACACGTTTAATGTCATCGGTCCATCTAGTCGGTGGTCGTCCTCGGCTTCTTTTATAATTTCTGGGCCTCCATTCCATAATACGTCTTGTCCACCGTCCATCTTGTGTTCTGGCTAAGTGCCCTGCCCAGTTCCACTTAAGCGTCGTGGTTCTTTCGATGACGTCTTGAACTCCTGATCTTCGTCTGATTTGTTGGTTTGTTATGTGGTCTCGAAGGCTCACGTTCAGCATTGCACGTTCCATGGCTCGTTGTGTAACTCTAAGTTTATTCGCAGATTTTTGCGTGAGTGTTAAAGTCTCTGCTCCATAAGTTTGTACAGGTAAAACACATTGGTTATAAACCTTTCGCTTGAGACACATGGGAATTGAACTTTTTAGAATATGGCTTAATTTGCCAAATGCTGCCCATGTTAGACCTATTCGCCTCTGTATTTCATGTGTTTGATTGTCTCTGCTTATTTTGATTTCGTGTCCCAGATATTTGTAAGTGTCTGTTTGTTGTATGGTATTATTGTCAATAGTTATATTTCCACTCATTACGAGATTTGTTATAATTTTAGTTTTCTCAAAGTTTATCTTTAATCCTGCTCTTTCAGACAGACTTTTAAGCGAATGCATCATAGTAACTGTATCATGTAAGTTATCTGCGATTAATACAACATCATCTGCAAACCTTAGGTGATTTAATCTTTCTCCATCTATATTGATGCCCATATCTTGCCATTGAGTACCCTTAAATATTGACTCTAGAGCTGCCGTGAACAATTTTGGTGAAATATTGTCTCCTTGTCTAACTCCTCGTCCTAAGCTGAATTTTTCTGTGTCTTCGTGCAATCGTATACTTGATGTAGCGTTCTGATAGATGTTTTTGATTAGTGTCGTGTACCTGTAATCTATTCGGCTTTGATTTAGGGCTTCCAGTATTGTTTCAAACTCTACAGAATCAAAAGCCTTCTCGTAATCGACAAATGCAAGAACCAGTGGTATGTTGTACTCGATGCACTTTTCTATTAAGATCTTTATGGTATGCAAATGGTCATTTGTGCCATATCCTGCCCTGAAGCCTGCCTGTTCTTTGGGCTGATAGAAATCAAGTTTAGGTGTTAGCCTCTTTGTTAAGATTTTCATAAAGAGTTTGTACATATGTGTCAAGAGGCTGATGGGTCTATAATTTTCTAATTTAGTAATATCGCCTTTTTTGTGTAACAAGACTATTACTGCATTGTTCCAGTCTTTTGGAATTGTACCCGCATGTAAGCATTTAGTAAACAGTTCGCTTACTGATTTTAATAAAATTTCTCCACCTGCTTTTATTGCCTCGATAACGAGTCCATCATCACCAGGCGATCGATGGTTCTTCATTTCCTTTAAAGCTGCTCTTACTTCTGACACAGTAATAGGTAAAAGTATTTCCGATCCCTGATTTATGAGAGTCTTTACTCGTGTCGGGAAATTGTCTTGTGGTCTTTGGCTGGTATAGAGGTCTTTATAAAATTCTCTAGTTATTTTCAGAATGTTTTCTTTATCTGTTGTTGCCTTTCCGTCTTTATCTCTCAGCTTGTATATTTCTTTTTTACTTTGCGTAAGTTTTCTTTTCATTATCTTTAAACCTTTGTTCTCTTCTACTGTTTGAGTAATTACATTAGTATTATATCTTCTTACATCTTTTCTAATTTCCGCTAAAATTCTTTTATTTAGTTTTTTATATTCTTCTCTGTTTCCCTTTTCGTTCTCGCTTATGTTTCGTCGTATTTCCATAAGAGCCCTTGTATCTTTGCTAATCTTCTCACTTTTGGTGTCATTTTTCTTGCAAAATTTGAGTTGTGCGTTTCTAACTGAGTCTGTTTACCCCCTCAGCATGGATTAATAATACCCAAATATAAATACTGGTCTAACCCAATACGACAAATATATTAACTGTCACGCAGAGATTAAGAATAATCTAGATCTAATTCTATCTAATTCCATACATGCAAACTATTCATGAAGATAATAACAAAGCGGCTTGTGAACAAACTAGATAGTTACCAACCTTCTGAACAGGCTGGGTTCCGCTCTAGATACGGAACAAATGATCATCTACAAGTTGTAAAAACGCTAATAGAAGAGTGTACAGAGTATAACAAGCCTATCTTTCTTATATTCGTAGATTACGAAAAGGCGTTTGATACTGTAGATCATCATAAAATGCTTCGAGCATTGGCTGACTGCCGCATTGACTACCGATATATTGCCTTGATTAAAAGTATTTACGAAACTGGTACAGCTTGTGTCTGCTTTCGTAAAGACACCAAGAAGTTTCGAATAGAACGTGAAATTAGACAGGGTGAATTTAAATTTAAGATTCTTTTCATTCACAAATATTCTTAGAACGAGTCTTCTTCATACTCCCATACATCCCTTTATTGGATAAACGAATAACTTATTAAAATTTAAAAGGGAAATTCCCAGTTGTTGGCTGGTGAATATGGTCTTATATGATTTTATACAAAAAACAAAAGAATGCATTTGCGAAGGCGTATAATGCAGAATACACGAAAATGGCATTAAAAAATGGTTCAAATACAGGAAAAAATATAGCAGACATGTAGAAAAAATATTTTAAGGGCTTACTTAAACCATTTAGCCAATACAAGTTTAATATTACATGACGCAATTCATTGTTATTTCATATAATCAAAAATATTTAACGCATAATTTAATTAAATACCGCTTTGTGTCAAGGATTGTATAACAGTATTAATTTTCGATAGATGAGATTACATAAAATCAAAAAGATAGCAATACTACAGTTAAATGGGCATATAATTAGTTTATGGATTTATTAGCAATTATTTTAGCAACAAACGCTGAGCTTGCTTTAAATATTTCTGATAGCGATACAAAATAATATTCCCGTAAAGAACCAAGTTTAAGATGAAGTTCAAGTTATGAAGTTCAAGTTAACCCTTTACCGCATCATGTGCCATAAATGGCACAAACCAAATAAATTTTTTTTTTAATATTTTAACTCAATTTTCATGTCGTAGCTCATTGGCATTGTTCATTTATGTCGTAGCTGCATGGCAGCCCATATCTGACACGTACTAATCGTGTACGCGAGATATGCAGCATAGTTCTGGCGGCGAGATAGGCAGCCGCGTGCAGCTTCAAGTTCATTCATTCATTCTTGTTGAAATTCTGAACAACGTAAAACAGTGCTCGAAGTTAGAGGTCATTTTTCATAGTAA